CCCCAAAACCCCAAAACCCCAAAACCCCTTTAGTAAGAACTCAGGTTGAGTAATAGAGATATGGCTATTTTTTGTAGTGCTTAGTTGCACGACTTGTGTTCCTGTTGCTTGAGTTGTCTAGATAGGATGTCACACAGGGTTTGTAGGGGTACAGGAGGGGTTAATGGACTGGAGGGATTTCGAATTTTGAGATTTGGATAAGAGGGAGTTGAGAAAGGGTATAAGAAGGTTTGAAACAAGCCTTAGGACATACCTTGGTGGATCCTCTGATCGATACGTTTAGAGTTATTTCGATCGCTGTGGAGTAAAATTATAGGAAATAAGGAAGTTTAAATTTTACATTCAGAACAAATTTTAGCTGTTTTATTAAAGCCAAGCTTTACTTACGTTATTCTTGAGTTAACATTACTCCTCATACTGACACTAGATCTATTAACTTCTTTCCTATTATACTTCTTGAACGTAGTCTGGGGCTTATAGAAACTTATTGAATTAGTAGAGGCACAATTCTTGTTGCTTAGGAAAGAAGTATTCTTGTTAGCACCTTCCTTGTTTTGGAAGCAATCCACAGATACTCTGCTGGATAGAGTACCTCCATTTTTATAATTAGAAAGATTCTGACTCATTCTTGTTGAAAGGAGATTGCTCTGATCTACTGACATCTGATTTCCATGCATCCTGCTCGAGAGTGGTCCTTGATAAATATTCACTGAAGATTCATCATCGTCAAAAGCATACTGTGACAAGTTCTCTTTTTCATTTTTAAGAGTTCTTTGGAGGTTCACAGTGTCTATACTTTGAAGAATTGATGGATTTTGTCCCTTATTTTGAAGAATTAGGAATTTCTCTTGGTTCAACTTCTGATTCTCCTCTATCAAATGATTGAGATTGTTTTCAAGGACGTTAGAATTGTTTTGTAATTGAGCATTTTGATTCTGACAGTTCTGGTACTTCCTAAAAACATCATCATACTTCATTTCAGATTCAGCATACTTTTGTTTAAGATAATTAAGTGACTCCTTACATTCTTGGAGATAAGCAACTGAGTTCACAATGACAAATCTAATGTAAGGATCTGTTAGATAGTGACTTTGAATGACCCTGTCAAGGTCTTCTTTACTGACTTTGGACTGAATTCCAAGAATATCAAAAGCTTGCTTTTTATTGAGTAATATAAGCTCTTTTAACAGCATCTGTATAGAGATGCAGACTTCTTCATCTCTAAATTTATTGCCGATTTGGTCATCTTTCATATCGATATAGTCTTGGAGATTATCAAATTCCCGCTTGAACTCTTCAATCTCTTTCTGAAGTTTTTCATTTTTCTCCTTAAGCCTTTGGTTTTCTGTGTTCTTCAAAATAGAATCTTCCTTAATATGAAGGAACTTTGAATTGACCTCTTCAGAATTCTGGCTATTCAGGAGCTGCTCTTGCAGCTCCTGAATGGCACCCTCTAATTCTGGCACTTTTTGGGCATATTCATTAAGTTCTTCTATTTGAGCAATTAAATTCTGATTATCAGCAGTAAGCTCTTCAACCGACCCTTCATAAGCATTAATCTTGTCAATAAGTTCATTGGTTATCTGATCGCTGATTTCTTTCTCATCATCATTATCTCTTTTAGAGGATTTAAGAGTTTTGATTCTCTTGACTTGTTGGTTAATTGTAGCCTGCAGGCTATCATTTGCCTTACGGAGCATGGCATTTTCTCTCTCATTTGTGTTAAGTTTCTCAGTAAGTGTGCTGATCTCTTTCTCCTTTTTGGAATTTACAGCTTCTACCTCCTTGAGCTTGTTCCTGACTTTGTCTTCATTTTTGTTCTTAGTTGAGAGTCTGATCCACTTTTCGCTTAGTTTTCATTTCTCAAATTCAAGCTTTTCAGCTTTAGACTGAAGACTTTTCTTCTGTTTCTCAAGGTTGGAGTATTTCTTCTGTAATTCGTGAAGTTTCATATTGCTAGACTTAAGTTGGTCCTCCCACCTTCTGGTATTGTTCTCATAATCTTCAATAGCAGACTCCATTTCTTGCTGGATTTCGAAGGCTTCATGACACCTTGCATCAAGAGCTTTACACTTCTTGTGAAGATTTTCAACTTCTTGCTCTTTTGCTTCAAGCTTCTCCTGGAAAAAGACTTGAGATTCTTCAGCTTTAAGTAGCATCACTTGCATATTATAGGGCATGTGTCTCCTAACGATTCACAATAAATCTTACCTGTTGGAATCCTTGAGTGCTTTATTTTCCTTCTTCAGTGCATCAACCTGGTGTAGGAGCTCTTCAATATCGATGTCCTCCCCTACCTCTTGGACTGGGTTAAATTGGTTCCTGAGCGGGTTTAGAGAGGAGCTCCTTGAACCAAGCTTTTGTCTAGCACTCATGTGTGAAATATCATTTTTAGGGAATCTTATTAAGCCTGACATGCATCTTTGGTTTTGCTTTTGATCTTTAGCATAATTTTTAAGCTGAGAGATATTTCCACTATTGTTCAAACCATGTAATTGAGATTTACTTGACCGAGTTGAGAGAGGCAAGCTCTGATAGTTTTGGTGGCTCGAAGGGTTGAGTTTTCTATTTCATTGTTCTCACCTTGTTCCTCATTGTTTGAAGGACGCTCTCATAATCGTCAGTTGTAGCAACATCCTCATGAGGAGCAAAGTCTGGATTTTCTGCATAATACTCCTCGGTTTGATCATCAACTTGTTCTTCTTGATCAGGATAATACTCACAATCTGGCTGATCTGTATATTGAGTACCTTCTGTACCATTTCCAGGATAAAATGTTTGGAAATTTCCTTTAAATTCTTCATAATTATCATATAATTGCTGCTGAGAGATCCCCTCCTGGTCATCATACTCTCCTTCCTCAAGATATTGCTCTTGATCAGACTGGTATTCCTGTTCGTCCATTTTGTGGGAGATTTAAATATTTCAAATTACTTAATTCCAAAAGGGGTTTTGGGGTTTTGGGGTTTTGGGGTTTTGGGGTTTTGGGG